ACAGGTAATAGCTCAGCAATTTCCCATTTGAGTTCTTTTAGGACCCTTGGATGAATGCCATCCGGTCCCGGAGATTTGTTAACATTAAGTTTTTCTATTTGTTCCAAAACCTCCTCTAATGACACTTCAATCCGGGACAGTTCCTCAGATTCATCACCCACAAAGGACGGTGCAGATTCAGGAATCTCCCCAACGTCCTCAGCCGTGAAGACTGAAGCAAAGAAATCATTTAGTTTCTCCGCAATGGCTTTATCGTCCTTGATTGCTCCTTTTATAGCTCGATCATCTAGGGGACCCACAGGCTTTTAAGCAGGAAGCCTGCTTCTAATGTACTTAAAAAACATTTTGTTATTTCTTTTTGAATTTTTGGCTAGCTGTTCCTCAAAATCTTATAGCTCGATTATCTAGGGGACCCACAGGCTTTTAAGCAGGAAGCCTGCTTCTAATGTACTTAAAAAACATTTTGTTATTTCTTTTTGAATTTTTGGCTAGCTGTTCCTCAAAATCTTTTTTTGCTTTTCTTATTACATGTTTACACTTGATTTGACAGTGTTTATGTTCTTTTCTATTTATCTCACTAGGATTGGACTTCCACTTCTTAAAAGATACCTTTTTGTCCCTCACTTCTTCTTTTACATGATGGTTAAGCCACGGTGACTCTTTTTTAGGTCTCTTGGTATGTTTTTTAATTTGGGGTATACATTTAAGTTGGGCCTCTATTATGGTGTCTTTAAAAAGTTTCCATGCAGCTTTCAGGGATTTGGCTCTAGTCACTGTGCCTTTTAATTTCTGTTTAACTAACCTCCTCATTTTTGTGTAATTCCCCTTTTTGAAATTAAATGCCAGGGTGCTGGACTGCTGAGGTGTTCTTCCCACCACAGGAATGTTGAATGTTATTATATTATGGTCACTATTCCCAAGCGGTCCTGTAACGGTTATATCCTGGACCTGATCCTGCACTCCACTCAGGACTAAATCGAGAATTGCCTCCTCCCACCGAAGGTGAAGCGTTATGAAAAGGCAACATCCTATGGTCATAAAAAAGCCTTTCTATTTGCACAGGATGAGTTGGAATATTAGGAGCCTGATTCAAAGCCCACCAAAGTTAAAGGGAAGACTCCAACTGGATCAGGTCCTATATGCTCAGAAAACTTTTTCCACACTGATGTAAGCATGAACAGAATATATCTTGATGGGTCCAACTGACTGATTTTTAATCAGATTTTTCCTCAGTTGATATGGGGGAGGGGCGGAATTTTGCTTCATTTCCAATGGTACACTATGAGTAGTGGCTATTAGTTATTTCTTACCTCACAGAAGTTGCCATACACTAGGGCTATGTCTACAATGCAGGCTTTTTGTGCAAGAACAGCCATTCTTGCGCAAAAACTTGCTTTGTGTCTCCACTGCACTCGCGTTCTTGTGCAAGTAAATTTACAGTCCAGTGTCGGAAAACAGGGCTTCTTCCAGAATAGTTATTCCTCTCCCAATGAGGAATAAGCCCTCTTGTGCAAGAATTCTTCTGCAAAAAGGCAGTGTGACAGGCAACATGATTTGTGTGCAAGAAACCCCTATGGCTAAAACAGCCATCAGAGCTTTCTTGCTCAAGAGAGTGTCCACACTGCCATGGATGCTCTTGCGCAACAGTTCTTGCGCAAGAAGCCTACAGTATAGACATAGCCAGTGTGTTCAGAAATAAATGGGGTTGGGTGAAGAACAGCAGCACAAGATAATTAAAAAGTAATATATGCCTGATTCAAAGCAGTCAGGGGGAACAAGGTAGCAGCATACCAAGAATGTTCTTGTGGCAGCCTAGTTATTTAGGGGTTAATTGCAAAACACTTACAAAAACCCTGAAGTCCCTGCTCAAATCTCAATGGGGAAAGCATCTAAATTCCCTAGGCAATTTTGAACATATCAGCCACTGACCTTATCCTCTGCTTCAGTTTCCCCATATGTAAAATGGAAATATCTCACTGGTCACTTACAGGAAGGGTCCTTTGCACCTGCCACTGAACTAATGCTTTGCAAGGATAAGTTAGTCCACTGCAGCTCTATCTTTTGTATTTAAATGCCCTCACTACTATCGTTTCTGGGCATCTCACCATACCGCTGGTGAGCAGGGCAGTGTGGCCATTCCCATTTTGCATAATGGTATCTGAGATACAAAGACAGAAAGTGATTTAAATCAAGGTCATATCCCCAAATCTGTGGGCAAGGACAAGGGACTAGACTCCTGCTCTCACATTCGAGGTTGTCATTGCTATAATTAAACTATTTTTCCTGCAGCCAAGAAAACACATCAGGCTGCTCTTACATAGCCTTGGGTAATTCTGGAGGGTTACGATCAATGTTCCCTCTATCTTGTCCATCCATGTATAGAATAAATTTTGTTACGTGCACTGAGGTATGTAAAGATGTGCACCACCCGTAGAAAACACATGCTGTCAGTTGTGCACACTCTGGTAATCAGCTGGGCAGCACCTGAATCTCTCTTCCGTGGCTGTCCAAGCACATAGCTTATAGGGAACACTGGTTGTGATGCTTTGTCAATGTGGTTTTGGCCCATGAAAGCTTATGCCCAAATAACTGTGTTAAGTTGCCCCCAGACTCTTTGTTTTTATAGATGCAGACTAATACAGCTACCCCCTCTGAGACTTGAACATCCATAAAATAATTCCTGTGGCTTGTGTTTTTCAAGAGAGCGGATTAGATGATCACAATAGTCTCTTCTGGCTTTATAATCTGAATCTGTTCCCCTTTCAGACTCTCCAGAATGGGAAGGAACTGGATGGTTATCTGTTGGATGGCTATGCTTTTGCTGATGCTATGTAGCGATGTCACCCTTTGTAGGAGGGGCTCATCGGGTAAGAAAGCCAACAAGAATAAAAATCTGCCCCCCAATAACAAGCCTAACTCAATCAAAACAGAGCCTGTGAAGATTCCAGGAACTCTGTGTTATACTGGTCAATTGCTCGACATCAAACTAGAGCCTGAAGATGCCAAATATTATGCCAACAACTTTAAAAAGTTTCCTGATTGTGTTTATTACCCAAGGTGCTTCCAGTCTCTACAGCTGAACACAACCAAGGACATGTTGGCTAGCGAGTGCTTTAACGTTACAGTGAGTCTGACTGAAAACAAACTGGACTTATCTGAAGGAAAGAATACCACCAATACATATGCCAGGATCATGGGGCATGTGATAAACCACTTGTGTGCAAATGGATTCTGCTGCCAATCCTGCAGCCTATCGCTGTCAATCCACAGTGCCTTTCATCAGTTAGTAATGCTTTGCCTTATGCATTTTATTTCTCTTACCGTGCAATGAACTTGCAGCGAAAGCTACTGATTTACTGTCAGCAAGGAAGTGCCTGTCAGTAACTATTTAGCTTTTATGCTTTGTGTATGTTAAACTTCCATAATTCTTTTATTGTTTTTACCAAAATCCTTTGTGTGATTTATCTGTTAAACTGGATGTTTGTTTTAAACTGGGCTATGTATGTTCAAATAAAGGAACATGTTAATCACAGTAGTGGCCAGTCATTCATAAGAGACGGGGAGGTGAGGTAATATCCATCTGATATCCTGGGACAACTTCACAGACATTCAGAAGGCCGGTTCACAACTACTGAAGAGGGAGCAGGGGAATGTTACCACCAACCCAAAGGAACATTTGGTTAACTTCCATCAGGATGCTACATGGTGGTGTCCATTCTTGGAGAAGTTAAGCCCAAGTGGCACTAGTTGGCAGCTCAGCAAAGGGCTCAGGTGGGATAATGAGCTAGGGCTCCTAGAAATGTTTTTTTGTTTGTTTGTTTGTTTGTTTGTTTCTGAGTTAGAGTTTACTGGTAGAGTAAGATAGATGGGAAAAACCTGTCCCCTTTAACATCACCTGGACTAATTGTGCCAAAGCAAGGAAGAAGAACAGTGTTGTGGTTAAGGCACTCGGGAAATCTGAATCTATTTCCCAGTTCTGTGGTATATTTCTTGCGTGACCGTGGGCCAGTTTAAATACTACTCCTAAGCTGTGTCTAGACTGGCAAGTTTTTCCGCAAAATCATCTGCTTTTGCGGAAAAACTTGCCAGCTGTCTACACTGGCTGCTTGAATTTCCGCAAGAACATTGATGATCTCATGTAAGATCGTCAGTGTTCTTGCGGAAATACTGTGCTGCTCCCGTTCGGGCAAAAGCCCTCTTGCGCAAATCATTTGCGCAAGAGGGCCAGTGTAGACAGCACAGTGCTGTTTTGTGCAAAAAGCTAAAATGGCGATTGGGGCTTTTTTGCGCAAAACTGCGTCTAGATTGGCACGGACGCTTTTCTGCAAAAAGTGCTTTTGCGGAAAAGCGTCCTGCCAATCTAGACACGCTTTTCTGAAAATGCTTTTAATGGAAAATGTTTCCGTTAAAAGCATTTCCAGAAAATCATGCCAGTGTAGACATAGCCCGACTGGCGTACTGGCAATACCTAGAAGTCCAAAGCAAGTGTGGGGCCCTGCTGTGCTTGGCACTGTACAAACACATCATACCAGGCAGGTTCTGCCTTGAAGGCTGTGTCTACACTGGCAAGGTTTTTCCGGAAAATCAGCCACTTTTCCGGAAAAACTTGCCAGCTGTCTACACTGGCCGCTTGATTTTCCGGAAAAGCACTGACGATCTACTATAAGAAATCAGCCGCTTTTCCGGAAAAGCTTTGCCGCTCCCGTTCGGGCAAAAGTCCTTTTTCTGGAAAACTGTTACAGAAAAGGGCCAGTGTAGACAGCTTTTCCGAAAAAGCAGAAGAAACGGAAAAAAGCGGTTTGGACACCTGGAGACCCCGTAGGAACCCTGGACTTCCTGGTAACCCGAGCTCTTAAGGCTGTCGCAGGCTGCTGAGCGCACGTGGCAGGAGCGTGCCTCAGGCCAGCGACCTGAGCTCTGCCACAGCGCCCCTGCCCTGCCCAGCCAAGCCTCACAAGCCAGCCATGGCAGCTCCTGCTGGTGAGCCCCCTGCACCCCCAGCTCAGGAGGCCCCCCGGGGCCGCAAAAGGTGGGCTCGCTCCTGGACCCCCAGGGAGCTGGAGCTCCTCCTAGACCTCTGGCAGGAGGAGGAGGGTCTCCATGACATCCACTCCCGGCGCCAGAATGTCGACATCTTTGTCCGGATGGCTGAGGCTCTGGCCCACCATGGACACCCTGCCTGGAACAGCGAGCAAGTCCGGGCAAAGGTGAAAGAGCTCTGGCTGGGGTATGTGCGGGCCAGCGAGGGCAGGGGGGCAGGACCAGACACCTGCCCCCATTACAACCGGCTGCACTCCATACTGGGCCAGCCAGCCCCCCCAGGC